GGTGGCATTTCTGTAAATACTTCTGAAAAATCCGTATTACACGTGTCTAGTGCAACATGAAGCTATTTCGGTGCAACGCCGTCAAATATTAGTGCAAAATGAAACAGTTTTAGTGCAACATGTGCAAAATATAAATATTACTGCAACATAAAGCCAATTTTAGTGCAACTTCGTAAATCCAATGGCTGAGATTCATTCTCATTTCTCACATTAGATGCATTTCTCACCTGAACCAAAATCTATATATATATATATGTGTGTGTGTGTGTGTGTGTGTGCAGGAAATCTTTCCGGTAAGGTATACCTTACCGGAGCCGCCGTGCGGCCTCTGCGTTTTGAGGGCCTTCCCGGTGGAATTTTTCGATGAAATTTTTTGAGCATGTTCGCCATCAAGTCTAGTACATCCATACCAAATTTCATCAAAAAATTCAATCGGGAAGGCACTCAAACGATTTTTGGAAGATAACTGCGTTTTATATGTATATAAAGGGTGCAGTTATCTTCCAAAAATCATTTGACTGCCTTCCCGATTGAATTTTTTGCTGAAATTTGGTATGGATGTACTAGACTTGATGAAGAACATGCTCAAAAAAATTCATCGAAAAATTCCACCGGGAAGACCCTCAAAACGTGGAGGCCGCACGGAGGCTCCGGTAAGGTATACCTTACCGGAAGAGTTCCCTATATATATATATATATATATATATATATATATATATATATATATATGCATACCCCAGTATTCATCTATAACATTGTAATGAAAATTATGGAGTACACAACTCCGTTCCAATATATACAGTGCAGCTGTTTATGTTTTTTTAAGAGGTTAGCGAGTTTTTTATTTTTAAATGATAAAGGTTAAAAGCTAAACTAAATTAAAAGAAATGGTTTAGGATGTTTTTACTTGGACTGTAATTTGTCCCAGACCAGACCAGTCCAGACCAGACCAGTCCAGACCAGACCAGACCAGACCAGACCAGACTTGGATAGTTATAAAAATACAAAGAAACCAGACCAGACCAGTTCAGACCAGACCAGACCAGCAAATTACAGTCCAAGTAAAAACATCCTTAATGCGGAGAGAGTGTCAAGACTTGGCTACCGTGACTATCCTTCGAAAGTTGGGAGAAATTTAAAAATTTGGGAATAATCTTAAAATAATCTAGCTTTATAATTTGATACCGGATTTTTCTTCAAAATAATATTTTCAAATAATCCTAACTTCTCGACAATGATCTAAAAAAAGATCATCCACATTATCAAAATAATCCTCAAATAAACCCATGAATGAGAATGCCCTAACTGATTAGCAGTGGGGAATGTTCTTTGATTAAATACAGTTTACACTCAATTGATAGTTTGTTAATTAAATGACTATTAAAGAAATCAATTAAGTTTTATGTAATATAATTGTCTGCACCGTCTTATTTTTTGATCAAAAAAATCCCGTCTGCACCATTTTTATGATTAAAAATGTAAAATTCACATTAGATGTATTAATGTAAATATCACACTACTGTAAAAATGTAAAAAAAAAATTTACATACAGTCAATTAACTTTTAATAATATAACTGCATAAACTGTTTTTATGATTTAAACTGTAAAATTTACATTTGATGTATTAGTGTGAAAATTTGCAGTGAAGTAAAATGTAAAAAAAAATAGTTTGACAATGGCTCTAAGCCTCTAATGGAGAAAGCTAGAGGTGGTGTTGCCTCAATATATAGTCAAATAAAAAATCAAAAGAAAATTGATTACAGAATTTTCGTATGGTGGATCCCACTACTTTATTTGCCCCTGCAACACACATTTTCGTATTTTCTATTCCTTTTTTTCTCATTTTCACAATTCTCTTTTCTTCTCCATAATACTAAAAATGTTTTTACAGTTTTAATTTTCTTTATCTCAACTTAAGTTACAACTCAATCTATTTTCTTATTTTTATCAATTCATAACAAAACAGTAGTAATCTAAATAAAATAAATATATTACGGAGTACATTTCACATTCATACACTTTTTTATTTCTGTTATGTTTTTTTATTTTACATTTTTTGTAATGTTTTTTTTGTATTATACATTTTTTTGTATTATTAACCTAAATAAAATAAGTATATTACATTTCACATTCATACATTATTTTTATTTCTATAATGTTTTTTGTATTATACACTTTTTTCTGTAATATATTTTTTATCCTTGTTAAATATTATTAGTATTTTTAAGACATTTGGATGTGCTTCAACAAGTTACATTTTGCTTAAACCCATGTTATTGAAACTTTTTGAAATTTTTTTGGGGAAATTGTTTTTATGGCGTTTAATATTAATAAAAACATAATCACTATTTATTTAAATTAATTGAATAATTAAACCATTGTTTTCATTGTTTATATGTGACTTACGTATTAATGCAGGCGATTTACACCACAAAATAAACTCTGCTAATGATCAAAAAATGATTTTTTCAACTATATCATTTTTATAGCCCTAATATTAAAAAAAATCATTGTTCACAGAAAGTAATTGGGCAATAGGATCATTTTTTCATTGTGTATTTGTATACATTGAAACCAATGTTTTTCACGAGTTATATCTTAATGTACGCGTGTTACATAACTAAATAAACTCCTGCTAATAATAAAAAACTGATTTTTATCTACATCATATTTTATAGCCCTAATATTAAAATTAAAACATATTCGCTATTTACAAAAAGTAATCGAACAATTAAGATTAGTTTTTCATTGTGTACATTGGCCTGCAAGTACGAGATAGTTACTTTATCCAGATCTCTAGTATTGTTCTCACAAACCAGTAATTTGAAAAATCAATAAAGCTCACTTTTCTAATTTATTTAGAAAAACAGAGACATATTTCAGTTTTTTTTGTTTTGAAAAATAATATTCTATATTTTTGAAAAACGTTTCCAACAAATTTTTTAGTTTTCCATTTTTCTTTTTCTAGTTTTTCAGTTTTTAAAAATGTGAAAAACACCATTATTAGTATAAACTTGTCGGGGACCCTCGGGGTAATTTTTTTTTTTTTAGGAAAAATTGATAGTAATAATCCCAACTATTGGCAGTCCGCTTATAATAATCCCAACTATCGATTATTTCAGAATAATTCAAACTTTTGGGACCTTCTGCCAATAATGGTCCCCAAAAATAAATTCTTGTAGTTTCTAAAGTGGATGAGGAGAGATATAGCAAGTAATCCCTATAAATAATCCCAAATTTTAATTTTTACACTTAATTTCTATTTAAAATTCACTTTTTTAGGAGGTAATATCTTGTCATGGACCATTATTGGCGGACGGTCCATATAGTTGGGATTATACAAAAATAATCAATAGTTGAGATTATTATCAGCGGACCGGCAATAGTTGGGATTATTTTATTTCAATTTTTCCTTTTTTATCAATTAATAAGTTAGGTGCTGTTCTGTTCGTCTTATTCTTATTACTTATTGCTTATTCTTATTTTATTCAGATCAGATCAGATCAGATCAGAAAAATTCAGATCAGATCAGATCAGATCAGAAAAATTCAGATCAGATCAGATCAGATCAGAAAGATTCAGATCAGATCAGATCAGATCAGAAGCATTCAGATCAGATCAGAAACATTCAGATCAGATCAGACCAGATCAGAAGCATTCAGATCAGATCAGAAACATTCAGATCAGATCAGATCAGATCAGAAAAGTTCAAACATGATTTTTCACTTTTATTATTATATTAAATATTATTATTATTATTATTATTATTATTATTATTATTATTATTATTATTATTATTATTATTATTATTATTATTATTATTATTATTATTATTATTATTATTATTATTATTATTATTATTATTATTATTATTATTATTGTTATTACTATAATGATTATTATTATATAATTATTATTAATAATATTAATAATAATATGATAAAAAAAGATATTAATAATAGTTATAATTTTTTAATATAATAATAGTAATATAAATGCAATTGTTAAGAAGACTATTATTATGACAACATTATAATAATAATAATATGATTAATATTATTATAATTATATGTAATTATAATTATAATTACAATTATAATTCTTATAATTATAAGTATAATCAATTGTAATTATTATAATTATATCTATAATTAAATATATTTATAATTGTAATTAATTATAATTATAATTACAATCATAATTATAATTATGATTATAATTATAAATATAATATAATATTATAATAATATAATACTAATTATAATAATAATCATATTATTATTATATTATTGTAATAATAATATTAATATAATAATATCGTTATAATAATATTAATTGTATTTATATTACTATTATTATATTATAATATTATAATTAATGTTAATATAATTATAATTATTATTAATTATAATTATAATAATTATAATTATACTTATAATTATATTATAATAATAATTTATGATTATAATTATTATTTTTATTATAATTAATATTAATATTATTATTATTATTACCATTGTAATTATTTTATGGAGTAATTATAATAATATTGATAACTATAGTTACAATTATAGAGATAAATATTGTAATTATAATTACAATTATAATTATAATTTTATTTAAATTATATTTGTAATTGCAATTATAATAATAATTATAATTATAATTATAATTATAATCATAGAAATATTCGAATCAGATCAGATCAGAAAGATTCAGATCAGATCAGAAGGATTCAGATCGGATCAGAAACATTCAGATCAGATCAGACCAGATCAGAAACATTCAGATCAGATCAGAAAGATTCAGATCAGATCAGATCAGATCAGATAGATTCAGATCAGATCAGATCAGATCAGAAAGATTCAGATCAGATCAGATCAGATCAGAAAAATTCAGATCAGATCAGATCAGAACTTAAAAAATTCAGATCAGAAACATTCAGATCAGGCGAAGAGAACAGCTTCTTAGTGGAGTAAAGTAGTTTTGTCTTTAGAGTTGGAAACCTAACCAAACAGCCCCTTGTTTTTAACTTCTTAAAGCTGCAACTGTTTGTGCTATGAGTTTGTTATTTCAGTTATAAAAGTAGGGCGGGCGGCCTTTGTGGGTTTGTTACTTCATTCATCCTTCCAAAATATTTGTATGTTAGTTGGCATTGCACTAATTTCTCCGTCGTTTTCTGAATCCAGTTAGATGCTTTTTTGTCTGAATGAATTCAATGAATAATTCATCATTCCATTCTCCAACCTTCCTACTCCATCTCCTCTCAGGTAAATACTTCTTCCTCTGTTCCATTTGATTTTGATTCCTTTATCTTTTATAGATCTGCTTACCGTGTATAACATTCTGTCAACCGAAGGCGTGATCTTCAGAGCTGTTCGAAGATTCCAGTTTAATATCTAACCATATATTCTCTTTGATTCATGCAACGGACTGATTGAGCGATTTAGGAATATGACTTTGATGAATGTCGTCGTTGTTGTAGTACAAGTGGTTCCCTGCTCTACAAATCCTAGTATAGACACCCTATGTTCGACAAAAGGATAATGATAAATGGGTTTGTTCACATGATGTTAGATACTTAATACTACGTACATCAGATCGAGGAACTGACCCTACCTAGAGTAAGCGGGCATCCACAAATCATAATTAAACCATACTTTAGTACCACGTTAAATCGTGTCTAACTAACCTTAAAAGGAATCTCAAAAGGTGAGGTTGAGATGCTTAAAAACACACATGACATTGTACATGCGAAAGGGAAAAAGTGTCAAATTTGCTTCATCTAATCTTTTTTTATTCTTCACCTCATTCGCGGCTAGGCGGAAAAATGTCAACATCACCCTACAATTTTTAGAAGTACTTGGGGTGATATGATTTTTATTTATCCCATACAATTTATTGTGGACGAACCACAACAGTGGAGAAAGACTGAATCTGTTTCTCTTTTTGGTATACCAAGAAACCATATTGTTTTTATGAAGCACGTGGAAGTGTTTTTTTTTGCTTTTCATATTGCTAATACAAGAGAATAGATAAGGGCATGGCATATAATTCTGCATCCTACTCTCTAGATGCAACATTGAGCTCTTGTAACATACCCAGAGTCCTATTAATTAGCCACTATTATTCTCTTTTCTCCTAATCTATAGATTGTCACATTAATAATTTGTATTTTAGCATGACTTTTTCCAATGGCTTTAGACAAGAAAATAGGGATCTAAGAATTACTCTGTAGTTTGTAATCCTGTATTTTAGCTTAACTTGAATTGAAAAATGGTGAATAAATGCTCATGTGTGAATGATCTAACAATTAGCCCACATTATATAGTTATTCTGATCTCCATGGAAATGAAAAATGGTGCAGCTATATTGGAAATGAAAAATGGCACAACATTAATGTAAATGGAAAATGGCGTGGTACTGTAGCTTGCGTCATTTTTCATTTCTATCCCTTTTTCTAAAGCTTTCGAAAAAGAGTTTGATGTGATGATTACGCTATTTTGGTGCAAAAACTAGAACAAAGGGTAGGAGATGACATTAATCTATACTTGCCTGGTCTTTTGCATTACTATAGTCAATGTGAGATGCTTATCGGTTTAAACTGGTCTACTTCTATTTTGTTTAGTTTCAGTGGTGATTTATTTCGGGCAACTATGGAGAAGACAGATCACCAGCAAAAGTTATATACAAAGATGAGGCTCTGGGAGTTTCCGGACAAATATGTCATTGAGCCTTCTGATGGATCTTCTGGTTCACGTTTGGCAGTCAGTAGGGAAGATGCTTCAATGAGTTTAATTGGTTAGTTGCTTAAACTATTACTTTGTTAACCTTTCCATCTCATCAACCTAAGCTTGCCTTTTGGATGTAATTTTGCTTGTCTAGATGATATACCGCATTGCAGTTCACTACGTGTTCCTAAAATTAAGGAAATATTTGGTGTTGTTGGGATGCTAAAGCTTGTGGCAGGCAAGTCAACCTTAGTCACTATATGATCCATATAGCATAAATAAATAAATACTCTTAATTTCCATTTATTATAATCGATGCAAATAGTAGATTTATTGTTTACACCGCTTTAGCTTTGAAATGATCCTTTAAGTGAAGAAAAATTAGGGACAGTTCGGTATTGGCTGAAATGACTTCATCTACTAAATTTTCTGAAATGATAAGCAGAACAGACCGAATAAGTTTTAAAACACGAGATTATTACAACTAGAATTCTCACAACATTTTCCATTGATTGCTTTCAGGATCATACTTAATAGTCATAACGGAACGTGAACATGTTGGTTCTTACATGGGCCATCCAATTTTTAGAGTTGCATCATTGAAGGTGTTACCATGTGACCATTCTCTCAAGAACTCTCCGATAGAACAGGCTGGTTTCTACTTTTTTTTTTTACCTTCCTTCTCTTGAAGATTCTTCTAAGTTCTAAGGGTCCATTTGGAGCCCTGGAAATTCTAGGGGAATAAAATGCGTAGGAAAATGGAATACAATTTCAAAATAAAGAACGGGGGAAAAACAAAAACTTTCTTCGAACTCAATAAATTAATTTTACAAATTTGTTCAAAATCATTTTATCTACATATTTCTTACATAAAGTCTAAGGAATCTAAATATATGTAAAATATTTTTTTTTAAAATCAAATTTGAATAAAACTAAATTTGATTTTAATTAGTATTTTTCAAGGTAAAGGCAAACCCATAAAAAATCTTTACTTATTTTTTGTTTTCCTACCATTTTCTACTTTCCAAATGTATAACTTAAAAGACCAAAACTGCTTATTCCATCTTTTGATATTTGTGTTCACGGTTTTACTGTTTTAATTTTATTATTATTATTATTATTATTATTATTATTATTATTATTATTGCAGAAAAAAATGGAAGCCGAGTTTTCCGCTCTACTAAATGTTGCAGAGAGCACTCTAGGCCTGTACTTTTCTTATGAAGTCAATATAACACTGAGGTGACCTTTGCTATGATATTTATAGGACATTATGATGTTATCTTAGAGCATACTTGTTCCCTTACTCCTATGGTCAAAAACTTGCAATTTGTACTGCAGTTCACAAAGATTAAATGATTTGGGTGAATCTAAACTGCTTCCTCTTTGGAGACAGGTTAGCCCTTTCTCTATCATGTGGTTTCATTTTGTAAAAGGGGAAACTGTTAAATAGTTCCTCGAACTTTCATAAAAAGGTCAAATAAGTCCTTATATATGAGGCTCTGTCCGGTTGTCGCGATTTGGGGTGGTTAACGGTGGAATTTTTTGCTGAAACTTTTTTAGCATCTTATTCATCAAGTCTAGTCTACTCATCAAATTTCAGCTAAAACTTTAATCGGGAACACATTCAAATTAATTCTTAAAGATAACTGTTCAGTTAAATGCGCAGTTATCTTCAAGAATTAATTTGAATGTGTTCCCGATTGAAGTTTTAGCTGAAATTTGGTATGAGTAAACTAGACTTGATGAATAAGATGCTCAAAAACTTTCATAAAAAAATTCCACCGGGAACCGCCCCAAATCGCGATGGCCAGACAGAGTCTCCTATATAAGAACTTATTTGACTTTTTTATGAAAGTTCGAGGACCTATTTGACAGTTTTCCCTTTGTAAAATAATGTTATTATTAGGTTTGTGAAGCAGACCACATATTTTTTTATATTTAGGCTCTGTTTGGAATGCACTTCGGCTTATTCAGCTTATTCTACTCATTAGTTGGCTGAGATGGATGTTAGTTTGTTACCAAGCACTTATCCTTTACAAAATCCAGTAGATTCAGCCAAATATATCCGTTACCATTGAGGGATCTTAACTCCAGATATTTGTTCCTTTGCAATGCAGGCAGACCCTCGGTTTGTTTGGAACAACTACATCATGGAAGTTCTTATTGATAGCAAGGTTATACGACCATTCCTCTTAAGTGAGTGCAACCCGATATCCATATAATATCTGCAAATCATTGACTATCCCATACTTCTTTTTGCAGCTTGACCCCTTCTTGCTTCCCGTTCTCCAGGGAAGTATCCTTTTCTGTTTACTTAAACTAAACACAGGTTGTTTTGTTTTAAAACCCGTACATTTCTTTAATTTCCAGCATCATGGACTGTTGTGTATTATTTCCATTCACTGTGGGGGATGTGGACTGTGGTAATTTTTTGTGAGAGTTTTATAAAACCGAAGAAAGATTCAAGAGATGAAAAAAGTGTTGGATTTGTAGAAAAGGGGTGACATGAAAGATTTGTCAAGTAGAAAAAGGATTAAAGTCAATGTACATATGCTAAGCTGATCATTGCGTGTTTTTGTCAAGCTCATAGTACATGAAATAAGATATGTCTACTAGATCACAATCTCTTTTAGTTTTTTGTTTCTTGACTTTATATAAAATACACCATCTACCCCCCCCCCCCCACCCCCACCCAAACTAAAAAAACATGTTTCAAACACATCCTCCCAAGAGAGTCCAACTTAATGAAATGCAGCTACCTTTCATGCAAGTTTTCAAAAAAGAGTCATGAGACAAGTTACACATGATAAATAAGTGTACTTTTTTTTTATTTAGGAAAAGAGAATTTTATTAATAAAAAGTAAATAGTACAATGAAAATAGGAAATTAAAGAAAGAAAATAAAACGGTGCAGAGAAAAAAAGCCTGAAACTAAACCCAGGGGAACTCTCTAGACTGAGACCTAGTCTTCATACTGTGGCGCCTTTTATTTTTTTGAGATTTCCTGTATATTTTGAGTTGTGTATTCAAGTTTTCCGTCAAACATGACGGAAAAAAAGTACTTTGCATGATTCATAATTGGTCAAACATGACTAAAACCGATTAGATTATTGGCACATACAAATTTGTGGTAATTATATATTTCAAACTTCCAACCTAAAGTGAAATAATAATTATATTGTTTATTTTCTATAGTCGCTGTAATTATTTTTAAATTCTTCTAGATGAAGGAAATATTATTCTCTTTTCAATTACGTCGACATTAAATTGTTGCAACGTTTCGCCCTCCTAACCATTACATCAATGCAAAGTTATGCCTTGACTAATTATCAGGTTTTCACAACTTCCAAGCAGCCATTGGAAAAGATATTATTGATGTTACACTGATTGCACGAAGGTGCAATAGAAGAACTGGTATTTAGAACCCCAAATTTCATTCTATTCCAATCCCGAGTTTTCACTATAAGCTCTTTAGAATATAAATAATGAAAAGTGATGAGTTCAAATAAGATACAATATTACAATATATATTCACTATTGCTGAAAATGACTAAAGGTTAGAGATACATGCTCATCACAAAGTAAATCATCTGAATGAATACTCTTCACTAACAAGAAAGAGAGTCTTCAGTTTCTTCTATATGAACAACAATTTAGGAACACGGATGTGGAGGAGAGGTGCTGATTCTGATGGATATGTTGCAAATTTTGTGGAAAGTGAACAAATCTTGTTAATGAATGGATTTACAGCATCATTTGTTCAGGTAAGCATTTAATTGAACATATTGACAAATTCTGGTTTCACATATAATGCTTTTGGCTAATATAAAAGATTGAGGTAAGGGGTTGTTAAGCCTTTGTTTGGAGTGTGTAAAATACCAGGGAAAGAAAATAGGAGGGGGGAAATCAAAACATGGAGAAAATTAAGAGGATACAAAATATATTAGGGAAACAAGAAGATATGTTAAAACTCAATAAATTACTTTTGAATATTTGTTGATACCCATATTATTCATTTATATAATTATATCCACTATATAAAGTCTGAGTAATCTAAAATATTATAATATGTAAATTAGAAAAAATTTAGTCACATTCTATTATGCAAAGTAAAACAGAACATAGAAAACTAACTTTCCATAGCAATATTTTTCTTCCTCTAGAATTTTCTGTTTTCCAAATATACTGTAAATGTATTGACTTTACTTAGGGGTGAAATACTGTTGGGATTTTTCTTTTGGTTTGGTTTAAATCTAATTAGAATTAAACTTAGTTTCTTTGGGTTCTGTTTTCAGTTATTTTTCTGTTTTAATGGGTTTTTTCTGTGCTATGTTAGTTCACTTTGGTTTTAATCAGTTAGGGTTTGGTTCCGCTCAATACAATTTATGAAAACCATTACCAAACTAAGACCAAATTACATATGGTCCGGTTTTGTTTGGTTCATTCCTTTTGGTCAAACGGGACCAAAATGCCCACCCTAACTTTAATCTTTGGATTTCCTTTTGTAGGTCCGAGGGTCGATCCCTTTATTGTGGGATCAGATTGTTGATTTGACATATAAGCCCAAGTTTGAAATAGTCAGACAAGAGGAAGCAGTAAGTAACCTAGCAGGCTTTGGTTACTCAAAATCTTTACTCATTATTGAGCTTATAATTAGTAATTTATAATTGTATATTCTATACAATATGTGTAGCCTCGGGTTATTGAGAGGCACTTTTTGGATCTGAGAAAGAAATATGGGAATGTGATTGCCGTTGATCTTGTCAATAAGGTACATTATTACTACCATGCATTTTGTTTTACGGAGTATTAGAAGAATAATGGAAGTACTTACTTTTTCTCTAGCAGCATCCATTGTTTCATTTAGAACTATAGTCTATAGATTGTTTTCTGGTGTGAATACATATTATTTTCTAATATTGGGTTTTATGATGTAATTCCTCAATATATTGTAAGCCGCCTCAATATATTGTAAGCCGCCAACTGGCGAATGATCTTTTGATTTAATATATTACTTCAGTTTGATGATAAAAAAATATTGGGTTTTATGACTTTTATCTCAGATGTAAAAAGAGTTGATACACACACCAGTTGGTATATCGTGCAACCGGTGCATGGTGAGCACCATGCACCCATGGTTGTATGAAATGTAACTCGTGTGATTCGAGATGTAACTTCAAGTTAATCAAAATGTAAATTGCACTCATTCACATGTAACTCATTGAAATGTAAACTGTTTTTATTGAAATGTAACTTGGGGAACAAATTAGATGTAACTTGGGATATGTAACTTTAGACGGTTGAAATGTAAAACGTTTTTACAGAGATGTAACTTCATATATATATATATATATATATATATATAAATGAGGCGTGGTCTAGAGCTGAAACTGGGTGTTGCAGCTGGGGATTGTGGTGGTATGATGCGGCAGTTGCATGGGCTGCATAGGGGTTGTGGTTGTGGAGGGTGTTGGGCAACAATTTTGCAGGCTAAGGATGGGAGAGGGGCTGGGGGCTGTGAAGGTCATTGTTGCCGGGCCAGATGGTGGTGGTAGGTGGCCAGGGGTGAGGAGAGTGTTGCTGGTTTAGGCGGACGTGGTTGGGGAGGGTGGACGATCGCGATTTTTGTGTTGTTTTGCGACCGGGCACACCATCCTCATGGTGCGCCGGTCGCACGGTATAAATTGCGTACACACACATATAGTTAGTCTTTTTAGTTTTTATATAATAGGAGTATATAAATAATAAATAAATAACTAACGCTGAAACAATAACTAAAATCTATTCACTGAGTTTTACCAATCTTTTACTTCCTTCAAATTTTCTTTCTTGCAATTTTTATTTCTGTTTTATTTTATTTATTTTTCTCCTATTATGTTCCAGGTTCCTATAGTAGTCTAACAAATTCGGCTGTTGATGGTCAAGTTAACGAAAATACCACTTTTATTCCATCAGCAATTCAACATGACAAATCCAAATAACATAACACAGAAGAAGGCAGATCCCTTAGAAATTACATAAATTAACTAAGTTCAAACAAAAATCAAGACAATTTTGGTCATCTCCAGATACGTAGAAGGTTTGGACTTAATTTATTTTTTCTTTTAAATTGTGGAACAGCTAGGAGGAGAGGGACGCTTAAGTGAAAGGTTCTGCAATGCAATGCAGCATAGTGCTAGTGAAGAAGTGAAGTAGGGAAATCTTTCTAATGGAAATTTGGTCAAATGCGGAGTAACTTTCATCAAGCCATGCTAATACTTTATACTATTTGTAGATACTTGCACTTCGATTTTCATCACATGTGTGGGCATGTTCACTTTGAGAATCTCTCAATACTTTATGACCAAATTGAAGGCTTCCTCACCAAAAACAGGTATAATTTCTTCTCATGTAAAACATTATGTGCAGTTCTTGAATAATATGTTACAATTTCTAGTAGAACTCTTAATTGGGTTAAGATCACTCAATTTGGTCCTGATGCACATGGTACAAACCACACTCCGGTTGGGTACCCGTTTTGTATGGTTAATTTCGCTAAAATGATTAAATTGTCTGAATTGTCTAAATTTTCTCAACGGCTCCCACCTACGGGGGTTACATGTAGGCACCCTTACTGTTGTACTAAAGCACAAAGAGACTATTTCCAGATGACCCACGATGAAAATCACGCCGAAAATTGCATGAACCGACTGCTAATTCAGAACAAAGAAGCGCAAATAGTTTAGTGAGTCATTTTGCTCTATTCCATCGTGGAAAAACGTTTGACAAAATTGATTTTAAACAGTTGAGTTGAAGTCTAATTCTGAATTTCTAATTAATATGCTTGATAGCTATACCAGATACCGCTAATGGTACTGTAGAGAGAATGCTAGTTAAATATAGAGAGAAGGTAATGTTTACAACCCTTTACGTGGCCAAGTCATGAGTGTTGAGTGAGACTGCTAATACACAAGGAAGACAAACTATGTCCAATTATTTGTATTAGAGAACCCTTTGTCCACGGGCGGGCCACAGCCGAGGGGTGAACTTCGGATGTAGCTACTAGCTTCATTGTGGGATGAACTGTCTTGTGCATGTTACTGGGAAAATTCTTTGCCTGGAAGCATGACACTTCACCTCGATTGTCGCTACCAGGAGCCCCTCGTTCATAGGTGAGGTCTGGCAGAGTGTTCATGCCATGAGTATTGTCCTATGACGTGGTGTCCTCATGTGAGACTGGCGGAGTTGTGGATGAGGGGTCGCAGACCATGGGTGATGGGTGTGAGTGTTGTCTGCCACCCTGCCAGCCTTCTTCAGTGGAGTTGCCTCTTTGGGATATTGCTTTTGGACTCCTGATGAGGGGCATGACTGAAGGATCACGTAAGATGTGAGTTGGGCCGAGCTTGAGTTGTCATGAGGATGCGTACTGTGAGTCCAGACCCATATACTCCATCAGTGTTGACAAGCTAAATACAAACAAGTAGCTATTTTAATCACGAATGATTGGGTAATACATGAATTATTGATGAATATAGTTGTTATAGTTGAATCTATTTTTCCAATGAAATAAAAAGGGTTGAAATGGATTATCCTAAACTTAGATATGATCAAACATAGAACTAGATGTCATTTCGATATGATCAAATGATAAATATGGGCTATTAATTGCAATACTTGAATTTAGCTTTCCAAACAAAACGAAATAAAAAAGGGATCAAATAGATTATCCTAAGGGAGCGCTTGTTATAACTATTATATATGATCATATCTAAGTAATTCCAAGGGATCTCTTATAGCAATTATTCTAAATACTACAAAAGTGGGTCTGAGTCCAATTGAACGCATGACCTTTTAAAAGCACATGTCTCGATTTGATATTTATATATGTGGCACACTTAAAATTTTCAAAGACCACAAAAACCTATTACAGACTGCCAGTTAATGACCATAAACTATCTGAAGGTCTCCATGTCCTAGGGTATTTACTTGAAGCTGACCCCTATTTAGAGCTTCTTGGTTTTCTATTGCTAGAGCCCTATGGTTTTATTGACATATATGGGTTTCTTTTTATCTTAAGGTACTTTCTACTGAATGAAAAAGGTGAGAAAGTTGAGACACAACTTGGAGTTGTGAGGACTAATTGCATAGATTGCTTAGATCGAACAAATGTCACTCAGGTCTGTTTTCTCCTTTCAAATTCAATATATCAGTTTCTTAAGATTGCAAATTACGGAAGCTATAAGTTTTCGTTTATGTTTTCACTCTTATACCATGGTGTTAGAACATGGTTTAGTTATTTTTTAAGGAAAAATGGTAAAGAATGCTCTTAGGGCGATGTTTAAAGAATCAAAAGTGGAAAGATATTTGTTTTGATGCAAAATAAATAGAGATATGTTTAAACAGTACAACTCCAAGCTGAATTTTTTAGTTTTCAAAATTAAAAGAAACACAAATCTAAAAGCATTCTACTACAAATGGAAATAAAGCCTGGGTGCAATTAAAATGTTTTATTTATCAATTTTATTTGAACTGCTCCCTCCATTTCGTAGACTGAACATTGCTTTGGATCAATATGTGGTCGTGTTTGTTTCTATAGATTTATACTCCCTTTGTCCCCAAAAAAGAGTTATGTTTCATTAAGATACAGCTTTTAATTTTTTGCAAGGTACATCTCTTTGTATTATCTATCCTATTTGTTTTTTTAAACTTATCTGCAAATTGGAATTATCAACGACTTTTAACATATTTTTTGGAATACTTTTTTCAAAAAGAAAATTAAGTTCAATTGGATTACCTTCTTTTGATGGAATATGATTTTTTAAGGACAAAATTGTTTTGAAACATGATAGTTTTTATGAATGAAATTCAATGGACATACTTGAAGCATTGGTGAGCCTATCTTACCACCAATGGCGTAGGCAACGTGGTATATCGAAGTGGGCTAGTACAACGTTTTTTTTTGGAATTTTTTTACACAATATTTTACCCTAATAATATAAATAAAATTGAAATTTGAGACGGGCTGGGGCCTAAGTTCCCCCTAGCTACGCCCCTGCTTATCGTTGAAACTTTGAAGACTCTGTTTGGATATGGGAAAATGCTAGGAAGAGAAAAAAAATGATAAGGGATTTTTTAATGCTTGTTCGTATATATATACGAAGAAGGACTTGCATTTGATGTTCATTAAGTTAGGAAAGATGTACTGATAAGGCACCTCAAGAAGACCTTTGGTAGGCATTAACTACAAAAGGCATATCACGTAAGTATATCAACACCATCATGGATACGTATAAGATTGTATTATAAGTGTCTGTAGTAGGGAGGACTACATAGTTCCCTATTACTATCGGAGTGCACCGACATCGGTTCTAAGCCCTATCTTATTTGTTATAGTCATGGATGGACTCACTAATTCAATTCAACGGGTAAAATGTACATCTTGAACTCATCCATAAAAAAAACAAAGCCAACGGGGCATACCCCTGAGAAACAAAAACAAGAGCCAAAAAATCAAAGCTAGTGAAACTTCACAATGTGTGTTGCTGACGATAACATGGTGCATGATATTTCCCGATCATATTTTGTTGCTGAGACACGACCATGTGTTTTGAACATGATGGTTTTTATGAATGAAATTCAATGGATATACTACATGCTTCAAGTATACATTAATTCAATTCAAGAAGATATAACATAGTGCATGATGTTTCCCGACGATATTGTGTAGCTGAGACAAGACCATGTGTTAAAGAAATTTTGGAATTATGGCGACAAGCCCTTGAGAGCAAGGGGTTCACGCTGAGTCGAAACAAGACTGAGTGTTGGAGTGCAAGATTAGTGTGGGTAGAAAGTAGAAAAACAATGGTAATAATATTGGAATTACCTTGAATGGTAAAGAGATACTGATAAGTGATATGTTCTATTACTTGGGCTTCATAATTCAGGACATAGAGTTAGATAGAGATGTATCCCTTAAAATCAAAACGATGTGGATGGAATAAAAGGGAGTGTAAGGATTTCTATGTCATCAAAATATGCCGACTAGATTGAAGAGTAAGTTTTGTCGAACAACAATTGAGTCTCCGTTATTGTATGGTGTAGATTGTTGGGCAATGAAACAACGTCACATTCAATGGATGAGTGTGGTTGAGATGCATATGTTGTGTGGGATGTGTTGACATACTAGAAAAGACTATTTGACAACTGATTAGAGTGATCAAGGATGATATGACATTTCTTCGGATTAGATGAGAGTATGACTTTGGAGAAAGTAGTGGACTCGAGGAGGGTATACATGTGGAGGATTTATCTATTTATGGTTTGTAACCGCAATGTCATATGTTGGTTCATGTTAGCCGGTGCCAAATTCTTGGGATTAAGACTTATACGTTGTTTTTGTTGTTATTTACCTTGGAAAATGTAAACGAAACTAAAATATGTTAATGATTTTTTGTTTCATACATAGTTTAGGTTCCCTCCACATTTTCTTTGCTTATAAATTTCCTCTATATTTTTCTCCATACTTCTTTCACTAGCATTTTTCGAGTTCCAAAGAGACCGTTGAAGAAAAGTTGTATAACAATGTTTGCAGAGCATGATTGGTAGGAAAATGCTGGAATTCCAATTCAAAAGGCTTGGTATTTTTAGTGCTGATGAAACGATTAGCAGCCACCCAAATCTTGATGAGAGCTTCAAAAAATGTAACAACTTATGTAGCAACTCCTGTCTATATCTTTTTTTTTTTAACTTTGAAGTTTTAACCCTCCTAATTTTGTGGTGTTTAGTGTGGGCTGATCATGGTGATGACATAAGTATCCAATATTCCGGAACTCCCGCTTTAAAGGGAGATTTTGTGAGGTAACTAACTATGTCTCATTTGATTGGTTTTCTAAAAGAAACCATGTGTAAAGGACTAGATGTGATTAGTTTTTTTTTTTGTTTTATATATTACTCGTATTATTTACATTTATTTATACGGAGTAGTTCTTTGTTTCTGTGACGTGTGAATAAAAACAATCATGATCTAAAATAAATTATTTGATGAGTTTTAGCTGATCTAAATGATATTCTCCCCCCTGGTTCTTGTTACTGAGGAAACTTGCATATAACAAAGAGAGATGTTCGGATGTGCAGATGTGGTCAAAGAACAGCCCAAGGGATTATGGCCGATGGCTACAATGCCCTGAAACGCTACTACTTGAACAACTTCCAAGACGGTACGAAACAGGTACATGGTTACTTTACGCACTCATAAAGCCCATTGCATACCTTTTTTTAGCGCTCCTCCCTCATCAGCTCCACAAGTGACTGTGGATCGCTACTCAATTTGGATCTAACCTTCCCTCTTGAGCTAGGTTTATTATGCTGCTGAGAAGTTATCACCGACAGTTTACCTAATTATGTATTTGGTACCGATACTAACCCAAATACGTATCAAGCCCGTATCCATAGTTTTATTAAAATACCGCCCCCATTTTTAATAAAATCTTCTCATACACATATTTAAAACAATACATACATGCATGAGAAAAGATAAGGTATTTGATACTATCCATCTTCCCATTCATGAGTCAAAAGATAAGGTATTTGAAATTTCCCATCTTCCCATCAGTAGGAGGGTGCCTTGCGCATCGGACGGTCGGGCAGCGGCGAGGACGGCCTCGACATCAGCGAAAGTGTGGACCCCAAGATCTACGGCCGTTGAATTGCCGATCAGACGGGCTGTCAGGAAGCAAGGCACTCTACCTTGCTCTAAAGCAAGGCAGAGGCTCCGGATCCGAGCCTATGTTATTAAACTTTAAAGTTTTAAGTATGATTATTTTATTTCATACTTCAAGTCTAATTTTTTTATCATAATTATGAGCGTTTGGTACTAATGTACTACTCCCTCCGTCCCTTAAAACTTTGTCACTTTCCTTTTAAGTAAAGAATTTATGGTCCCGGAAGAGGGTGACACGAGTTTTAAGAAAAGTGGGTTGTGTGGTTGGTATTAATTGATAAAGTAAGAATAAAGTAAGAATGATCTTGAGCCACACAAACTTTACCAAATAAGGTACGTAGTATGTGACAATTAAATAGGGACATCCCAATATAGTAAAACGGGACATTTAAAAGGGGACGGAAATGGACTAGTGGGGGTTGAATGACCTAGAATTAGATTAAAGCATGTTCGAAATAGGCAAATAGCGAGAGTTCACTCGTTGTCCAGAATTAAGCAAACCCCATGGGAGAGTCAGGGAATGAAAATCCCCAGGAATAAAGAACTTCATGTTCCAAGCGTGGATACGACTGGATTCCCGCCCCCATTTTGGCTAACTATGAATTATAAATATATGTATATTAAAGTTCATTTCTTTACTTCCATGTATTGCAATTTTTAATTTTGGCCCACCAAAAGTAAGTTTTCTTGATGAAATTACTGATTATTATCATGACTTCTTTTTGCACTACAAAGGATGCAATTGATTTATTGCAAGGGCATTATATTGTCTCCGTTGCACGAGACACAATGCAGTCATCTCAGCGGGGAGGCATTGAAGCTGTTGCTGTGAGTACCTTTTCTTAACCATTATTTGTCATTTTTAGAAACCTATAGTAGGCTGTAGACATTTATTAATCAGGTTCATCTTTTGAGCTGCCAGAAATATGTAGTTACAAATTTTAACTAGGTTTATCTTTACATGATTTTCCACGGTTAATGCAGCGAATCAGCTAACAGTTTTTCTTGACTCCATTACAGTCGTTTCCAGTGGCTTTTGCACTGATCATGCTCGGGTTGTTTCTGGCTGCATTGTCGCTAAGACAAGGTGAGTTGTCATGATTTGATTGGGATATGTATTCTTGGTTGTACAAATCGGCCTAGGTGCCCAACTGATTCTTGTGACTAGGTGGTAAAAAAAATAATATTTTATAGGGAATCATTTCTATTCGAGTTCTTTATGTGACATCTACATACTTAGACTTTTGAGAGAATTTAGAAAGTTAGGGTTGTTATGGAGAAATTTTTCTGATTAAAAGTATGTTCAGAAAAATATCCAGATGAAACCTAACAGGGAAGTCTCGCAAGGGTATGTTTGGGAGTTTGGGGGAAGGGGTGGGGAAGGGTTTGAAGGTTAGCCATAGGAGGAAAGGGGAGAGGAAGTGAAGGAAATCATTCTTCTTTGGGAGTTACAAATTTGAAAAGAGAGAGACTATATAATGTATTTACAATCATTCCAAAGACGTGAGAAATTCAAATACTTGGACTTGTATTCATTTTGGTTGGGCTAAAGTTATGATTTAATTAGTTATCCTTCAAAAACTCCAAATGTAAGGGAACTTGAAAATTGAGCATTGGAAGGGTTTGGGAGAGTTACAAAAGACCCAAACCATCCCTTCCAATTTTTTAAACTCTCAAACAAGAACGGGAGGATCTTAAACCCTCCTCATCCTTCCCCTCCCCTCCAAAACTTAACTCCCAAACATACCCCAAAGAAAATCAGAAAACGCATCACGAAAAATACTTTTCAGTTAAAATAATGGGACAGACTAATTAGAACTAGAAATCACTGGCCAAGGTGATGCTCAACTGACCTAGTAATGCCTCGTGATTTCTGTGTGTTATAAATAAATAGATAAATAAATAAAAACTGTGTGTTTGGGATGTGCAGTTCGAAATGATCCTTGGAACCTTTTATTTTCAATGATTTGGGCAAGCATGAGTGTGGGTATAGCTGCATTTGTGAAAGCCAATGGCCGTGCTTTCTGCAATCGCCCACGCCTCCACCAACCCAGACGCTGAAATAACAATAACAATAAGTTTTATTTTGGATACAGTATCTTATTGTGTAAATCTACAACAGATACTTCATTGAATTTTATAAAGAACAACCTAATATTTTGAATTCTGTAGTTTATGCATATACTTTGATTATTGTACTGATCCGAAAAACTGTATGCATCCAACAACTCGCCATTAAAACTAAATAGTTCAGGTGCTGTTTGAGCATTTTGCCTGGGATCTTAGTCTTTGGACATCTCCATAGCTTCAATTTGACCCAATATTTCCACAACTTGTTTCATAGAAGGCTGTTGCTTAGGTTCTTCATGTAGGCATCTTAGAGTAAGTTCAGAGGCTTGTAAAACTGCGTTGGAGTGATACTGACCATCTATCCTACATTACGGACTTTAGCTTTTTCCCATGTGACCATTGGTTTTGCCCATTTTACCAAGTTTTCTTGCCCAGAAGGTCTTTGGGAATTCAATGCTCTTTGGCCAGTCAATATTTCTAGCAGGACCACACCAAACCCATACATGTCGCTCTATACATATAGGTGTCCCCTGTACATATCAAAATGGAAAAATTAACAAGAATAATCCCATTTTTCACTGGTCTTCTCATAATAATCCCACCTTTACATAATCCCAAAATAATTCCATCTTTGCACTCCATCTTCTTTCATTGGACCCTGGCCAAGTTTTTTATCCTTCTTTGAAAATCTTATATAAATAATCTCACATTTATAAGGATATAATAAAAAAGTGAAAGGTGGGATTATTTATATGATTTTCAAAGAAAGAGTAAAAAACATGGTCAGAGTCCAATGAAAGAAGATGAGGTGCAAAGGTGGGATTATTTTCGAATTATATAAAGATGAGATTATTATGAGAAGACCACTGAAATGTGAGATTATTCTTGTCAATTTTTTCAATCAAAATTACCACTTCATTCAAAATTAAAAAAATGACACATTTGGTCCCCGAAAGTCTTATTCAACTATTTTTTTAAAATTATAAAAATGACTACATACACAATACTCCCCCCGTCCCGTTTAAAGGTTCCCATTTTCCTTTTTTGGAAGTCTCACTTAAAAGTTCTCACTTTCTATTTTAGGAAACAATTAACACTCTTAAATAACAATTTAATCATCAAATATTAAAAATAATACATTTATAACATTACAGTTATCATCAAAATTATTTCTCAAAATATATTCGAATTAGCATATTTTATTATTGTTTAAATAATCGTGTCATTTTGCCATAGAAACCTTTAAATGGGACGGAGGTAGTATCATATTAGGGATAAATGATTTTATATCCATGTTGTTTGAATAATTTTATTCATTTTTGTTAGATATAGTATTCATTTAATTATATCTATATTGTTCAAGTTATTTTAGAAGAATGTGTTATTTTTTAATACGTGGCATGTTGAACTGCTTAATTATACTAATGATAATTATGGTTCAATATTGAATATGGCATCAACTCCGCCATGAGATCATTGTTTTTGGTATCATGTCTGTCTCAAGTCAGGATAAAGGAGGAGGGTGTTGTGGTAGGCGCGTGACAGCCAACAGTATCACCTAGTCACATCACATTCTTTTTTTTCCTTTTGGTGATATCATGTATTGATTCATGTTAGCCGACCTCAATATCTTTTGGGACTAAGGCTTGGATGTTGTTGTTGTATTGAATATGACATCAATGGATTATCAATTGTATTTTGTAACATTTTAATAATGGATTAGATATGTCGCTAGTAACATCGATTTAGTATATTTTGTTAGTCTATGATAATTTGTTGTATTGGGAGACATGCATGGTAATTTACCATACCATTACCGAACTGAAACTTCGGTATATCGAAATGCGATATACTGAAATTTCATTAAGATAACGGTATATAAATTTTGTATATTGCAAGTTGGTTACAGATATAAATTTCATTGGTCTTTTGGGGTGATCGTTTTCTAAGTCTAGCTGTAGAGTTAATAGTGCAAGTTGGTTACAGATAGTTGTTGTCAGTACTGGTCTCTTTGAATTTGTTGTAATGATCCGACTTCTAATGATATTAATATAAACGGTTTTTTCTTTTAAAAAATAAAATAAACACTAACACACATATATTAAAAATTATACATATAATGTGTGAAATAAGTTGATAATTGTATATATCAAAGTTAAACGACTCTAATTTTATTTATATATTTAGCATTGTTGATTATAAAAAAACATCATTACATATATAGTTTATACTACAGACACATATAGTGGTTAGTTTGACGCGCACACACATACTAGATAGTTGATTTTGTTTATGTATAAACGAATATATATTTCATTATTAGTCAAATCAAATACGTAATTTTTGTATTCGTATTCCAAAGATGTTTGAACCAAAAACTGATGTGTATTCCTATTGACATTCTATATTTTCAAATTTAAATCATAATTTATGAATCAAAATCATGAATCGAATTAAAATTATATGTTTTGTTTATAATCCTTACTCTTTATGATACTTCTGGTTTATTACAAACTGGCTTGGAATGTGTATACGTAAATATATATGGGCTACACTCTGAAGGTATAGCTAGCTTTTAAAAGTTACTATAGTTTTATTGCTACTATTATTACTATTACTATCATTATTTATATTATCACTATTATTAATCGAATATATTTGATTAACATTCGAATGAATATATTGATATTCGTATTTATATTCGATAGCAATTCGAATCAAATTTGATATTCTTATTTATATTTGTAATCAAATATATTATTATACTGTTGAAATAAATACTAAGAAAGTGTAAGATTGTGTGGGAATCATTTTAAAACATGTGATCCATCCTTCAATGTCAATCTAATAGTAACAACTCGTTAAATTGGCATTTTGTCCTTGATATTACAAAAATGAGTATAAAAGACGAAAATGTGAGCTCTTTTTTATATTTCCAAAAACGTGGCCAACTTCACAATTATACCCTGCAGTGACAAAGTGACCCTGGTCAAAGTGACTTCCTATCGACCACAGTGACCCTGACCATAATGACTACCCGTCCTATTGACCACGTCGACACCGACCACAGTGACTGCCTACCCACCGGTCACAGTGACTGTCGCCGCACCTCCGACAAGTGATTGTCGCACCCCAAGTGATTGTCGCCACCCCACTGACCAATGATTGCCACCCCCCGCCCCACCGGTGACCGTCGTTGGCCACAGTGACACATCCAAAATGACACCTCCACAGTGACACTGGTCATATTTACCCATTCCAATAACCACCGCCGATCACTTCCGCCGTTGCCGGCCACCACGACAGTTGCCGTCGCCTGCAACTGATGTCGGGCAGCAGTGCTACTCCCTGTCATTTGACTCCAGCGGCAACCCAAGCGCCCCAACCACCCTGCCATCCCAACACAGTCCACCATCTCCGACATCCTCATCCCCAAGCCACCTCCCTATCCCTTGCCCCCAACCACCCTCCCCAACTCCTAACCCGACCAAACTTAACCCAACCCTTGATCCATCCCTAGCCCCAGTCCCAGTACCCCCCCCCCCCCCCCCCCTTTCCCACTTTAGTTCCCTAACCCCCATTCCCTGTCCTCAGCCCCCCTCCCCTGCTCCCCCGCCCCCTGCCCTCCCCCCAAGCTATTCTCCGGTCAGTTCGCCCAAAACCCTGGCCATAACACCACGGCAACACCAAGAAACCATTGTCACACCCCACCAGCAGCGGTGGCCCCAAATTGGAGTCATTGTCCATGGAGGATGGCAGATCAACACAGGCGGCCCTAAATCGAAAACGTCACCGTTCTGGAAGATGGATCTGGAACCGAAGGTCTCAGATCAGAGCCATCTTCCACCGAAGGCACGACTAGCGAAGACAAAAGTGAAGCTAGACAAAGCTGATGGCGGAGGTGCAAGATGAGAAAAGAAGAAGAAGAGTGAGACCGATGGCGGTGGCTTTGAAAGGCGATGGAGGCGGGTGGTGCAAACTTGGTTGGTCGACTAGAAGGAGAGAACATGGCCCTGGAGCCGATGGAGAAGATTAGATGGGACTATGCGGAGCCCATGCAGAAGATGGGTCCGTTACAACTTGGGACTTATTGGTAAAGTGACTTATTCGTTCAGACAATTTATGACTTATTCGCTCAGTCAGATTTTAATAGTCCTTACTCTTCAGACATGTTAGCATACGAGAAGTTTCATTTTTAACCCTCAGTTCTCCCTCTCCACACTATATCACTTCTGCGAGACATCACAAGATTTTTGAACAGGCTTGTGAGCTTCTACATTGGAGCTAGGCAGCAAAGCACATAATCCCTTATTCCTCTATTTTGCTCACATTTACTATAAAAATCTATTGTGCATAATTGGATTATCCACTTAAATTATAGTTTAAGTCCTAAGAATGCATATTTTTACATAACATTAGGTGACTTTTTCGATGAATGGGATGAGGATCACATTATGTTCAACAATGAAATACAATAGTAAGACAAAAAAAATGTAGAAGCAGACGGCGCACAATGGGGTACCCAAATTCTATGGTATATGAAGAATTTGCGGTATAAAATTGTAAATGTACCAATTTGAAATTTTAAGTTTTAAATATTGTTGTAAAATTCTTGACTTTGTTATCATGGAGTGCGACTCTTTTATTTGAGTCATTCATAATATGATGCTTTTTAAACATATGAAATTATTGCTTAGAACAAAGAAAGTAAACAAACAATATAACACTCATCACATACTTCTTCCGGTCATGAGGGTTATTTGGTCATTTGATATAATTCAGACATCTTATCCCACACATAGTAAACATGATGTCATCTCATGTTAATCCACGCAGACAACTTAATGAAAAACAGACTACTTAACTCATTTAGGACTTGATGAAAAAAAGAAGTAAACAATCCCTTACTAATGTTTAGGGAAATCAGAAATAAGGTCATATTTTAGGAAATCCAAAGATCAAGACTAATATTTTGGCCAGTCATTCGTTAAAATTTTAAAAACCTTTCTAGAAGGAGTAACTCTAGCTAACTTACAGATGTGGGAGAAATACTTCATAGATTGTGTAACTTGTACTGAATCTGAAGTGAGCCACAAAATATGGTGAATTGGCATGAGACAGACATTTAGAGCTGTCTAAAATATAAAAAATGGACAAACAAATGGGACAAACGTACTAAACAAACCAAACTCACCTACAAGAGGTGTTAAGATGTGCAAGAAAATTGATGAATAATGCACGTAAAAGTGAAAAAAAAATCATAAACAAATTTGAACTCACTGCATACAAAACTAACGCAAAGTGGCCCTTGAGAAGAATACCTAGCATAATCAGCAACTCATCAGTATAGGTAGCCACGGTAAAACGTATTATCAGATGAAATAATTTTATATGATGATTATTCTATTCTTCTAAAACTTGAATTTCAAACATAATTAGGACTGGCTAAACCCTGAGCCGCTCATAAAAAATACTACCAAAACATGAAACAAAATTTACAAACCAGGAGGAAACACATAATAAATGCTAGAAGAAGAGGGGCAAAACATAACACTATGAGAGGCAACATATAGAGGGCAAATAATCATGCTCACTGCTTCTGCTCCACAAAGAAACATCCCATAGAAGATGAAAGGCTCCGAAATCTGTTGAAGATCTATCTACGATAATGTCAGATTTAGATTCCTCCCCCCGCTCTCCCTCTCCATAACTCTAGCTTTATACCTTCTCTTGAAAATGTCTTGTCTAAACTTCTTGGTTTCTTCTTGTATGTCCATGGATGGCTTCTTCTCTATCCTTTCCTTTTCAAATTCTATCATTCTTTTCTTCTTCGACACTGCCATAGTTGTTGCCTCGTCCTCATTGTCATCATTTTGCTGTTGCATTTCTTCCTGCATTTTGGCACATATATATAGTGAATTTCAAAACAAGACACGAGACATCAGTAATGTATTAAGATTTATGATTTCATTCTAAAAAGTAGTCACAGTACGAAAAGTAGTAAAAGATCATAAGTCTTCTTCAAAATGGTTGCAGGTTTTTTATTTTACGGTTTTGAAAGTTATGTAATATGCCTATGTTGTATGATAAACCAATGCTCCTAATACTTAAACAAACCTTGTCAGAAAATGAAACACCACATTTTTGGTTTCCAAAACCTCACTTTTGTTGTTTTTAAAACTGAAAACAAAAAACCACCCAAACGGAGCTTTGTATGTTTGATTTGCATTTTCTGGATGAGGGTTGGCTCAACATAATGGATGGCGTATAATGTGGGAGGCTATGAACCTGGGTGCATGAATGCATATTGCATGAGGTTAGATCCAACCAATTACCAGTATGAACTGATATCATTACATACTCATATGTTTTGTTCAATTTTCTCGATTTAAGACATTGTAGATGATAGAAAATTAATCAAGAGGAAGTAAAAGAAGAGGGTACATGATTAAATGGGTCAAAAAGAGGCTTTAAGACGGTAGAATCCAAAAATAACCTAGATGAACCAGTAGCTTTATATAACGGGAAGAGATGAGGATACCTGGAGATTGCTAATGAGTCTATCCAAGGATTTGATCTTTCTGTGAGGCCAGCGAGGGATACCGAATTCTCTGCACTTTTTCTTGAGTACTGTAAGCCCAATTTTCAGGCTTTTTGAAGCTTCAGTAATTGGAAGGTCAAAATACTTGACAAGATCTTCCAAAGCAATCCTTGCTATATCTTCAGGTGCTGCCCTCCGTTTCTTGTGCACTGCATATGTCACCACCAACTTCATTTAGAGAGTGCTTTCTGGCCCACAAAGTTCAAACTTTCACAATAAATTTAAACAACTGGAAAGTAATTTTCATGTTTGGTGATGCCTTTGATCTGGGAAACCAAGGGATAACTGTTTCAACCCAGGGTTGCTATATTGACTTTGAGAATCACTTTCCCAGGAACTTAAATGAAATGTAACAAACTTCCTCTAATTTAACAAATATAATAATTCTAGTTAAATTTGCAGGTCAGTATTTACTCCTAACTAGATTAAGAAAAAGTAAGACTAGTGAAGGGACTTCTGCAATTGATCCTTGACGTTCCTTTTGGGGCCTGGAAAATGCTAGGGAAAGAAAACACAGACAAAAATAGAGTGGAAATAAAAACCTAAGAGAATGTAGGAAAAAATAAATAAGAGGTCTAACTTCGAACTCAATAATTCAATTTTAGATTATTGCATAATCTCATTTTATGCACTACGTATATATTTCTATCATATAAATAATAAGGTCAGCCTAGTGCACATTGGCGTCTACAAAAGGCGAGGGTCCGAGGAAGGGTCTCACCACCACAAGGGTGTATAATGCACAAGCCATCCCTTCTTAATTTTTAACACTATAGGTCGCTCCAATACTTGAACTCGTAACCTCTCGGTCACACCGCAACACCTTAACCAGTGTGCCAACACCTTATATATGTTTTATATAAATAATACGAAATCCAAATATATATAAGACTTTAAATTATAAATCAAATTTGACTTTATAGCCTAAGTAAACGGGATGCACACTTTCCATTTGAAGTTGGGTTACTCTTTCTAGTGTATTTACAACCATAAGCAGAAACCAAGCAGTTTGAATACATCATCTTTGTGCTTATTCTCATCTTTGGAACTTTGATTAAAGAAAAAAACGATTACAAAATAAATTCAAATATGTTGTTATTCTGATAGCTTTACCGGATATATCACTATCCTCTTCAGCATCGGAGTCTGGTATCGAGTTGAGATCCAGAAAACGGATATTGGATGTTATCATTCCTGATCGGTGCTTACTTGAACTTTTGCTACTGCACACTTCAGTGACAAGATTTTGTTCTGACTTTGAAGTTTCTGCATTCTGATCCAGCTTTGACATGGTATGTAGATCATCACCCAAATCTTGGAAAATCACTCTGCATTTTCTTGAAACACAACAAAAAGATGGCACCAGAACTAAGAGCAGGGAGATGAAAGAAGTCTATGAATATACATTTGAATTTGAGCCAGCAGTGCATTGGAATGAGATTATCCGCACAGCTTAGAAAAACAAAATAATGGTAGCGAATTGATTAGCTTGCACAAAAGAAACTAACCATCTTTGTTATTAAAGAAAACGTACTTGATTAAATGAGAAGATAAATGAGTAAGTAAAATAATTACGAATTATTGAATCTTCGTGCTGATAAGGTAGATTAGGGAACACGGATTATGCATTCCAATCAAAAGTTAATTTGCAGCGGATCAGTTTCATCAGTTGTAAAGAAAATTGGATAACAATATAATATAATAAACTAATAAAGCTAACGTATCAACATGCATTGCCAATAGTAGTACTCCTATAACTTAGAAGTGAATAAAAAGGGTAAAATGACACTTTTGGTAAAAAAAAATGCTTGATTATTCACTTCATCGGCTATCCACTTTTAGAAATGTAGTCATAACCTATTACATGTTATTGCAATTTCTTTAATGGAAACCATCACAAGAAGTAAGTTAAAGAACTAACAAGGCAATTTTCAAGATATATAAATTGGGTCAATATGGCTAACCAAGGGTTATTATGTGTATAAAAGTTGAACACTTGCCACAAAAATGACAGATCACTCCAACTTTAAGGCCAAAAATGTAATTAAAACAAATAAAAAGCAAGAGATATGTTGCAAATGATTACAAGATAGGCTTTATCTTATGCACTCTATGAACATTTATGACACAACACCTGTAACCATCACCGCTCCACCCATCCTACACTTCGGCCATTGCAACACCAGCTGTCACAACAAAATAGAGGTTTGGTACAAATTACATTTGTTTAAAACTAATTTTAAAATTTACAACCTTCAAAATTATGACCATCATTAATCTAAGATGAGTACAAATTATCATTTCCTATGGAAACTAAAACATTTCACCAACCATTTCCATTTGATGTTTTCACACAATACTAAGTTAAGGAAGCCATAATTTTTTCTAAAATCGAGCTAAAATACTCCAATATGACCAAAATACTATAAGTCTATAATTAATGCATATTAAAGACATATAAAGTAGTATATGAAGCCATTATAGATGAAGAAAGACAAATGTGGAAATCAGCGATAAATGCTCCACTAGTATTCGAAGGAAGTACGGAGTAGCACTTGTTTAACCCCCCACCCCCCAACCATAAACACATCGATTAACGTATCAGAAAAAGTGCAACAAATCATACCAAATGAGAAACTTCAACACCAGGAACGTAAATATGCAAACATCCCAACTCAGAAACACATATGAGGACATTGCAAAAGTAATAATAATTAAGCAGAGTGTTTGATTCAACTTACTTAGAAATTGGAACCCACTCATCAGAGTAATCAACCAATGGAGGTTGGGTGCGATGAGAGTCGAATATATAGACGCATTTCCAGACGCCATTTTCAATCCCGGTGTGCTGCTCTGAAATGTCGAATCCGTACAACGTGAGTACTCTAGAAGTTCCATTTCCCCCAAAGTTATTATCTTTCCGGGTGTGGTTGAGCAGGTATTCTTTCTCCTCTGTTTCTTCATTCCCTCCGGTTAGCCGGAAAACGCGCACCGCCCGGAACATCTCTACTCCCGGAATGAAAGAGAGAAAGAAATCAATTTTAAAGGAGACCCGTTTCGAGATTTTGCATTTAATGGCGGAAAAGAAATTAAAAGGTGGAGACATGGAATAGGAAGGAATTACCTGTATACATTGAATTAATGAAAACGAGAAGAGCTCTGAGAATGCGAGCCTGTTTTGGAGCCATAGAGAGGGAGGGGAAATAAGAAATCTATGGGAGATTCTGGGTTTGCATGACGGTGTCTCAGTTATCCATTGCGAGAGAGAGAGAGTGACTTTAGTGCGCTTTTGGTCCCTTTATATACGACCGGTTTATTATGTCACATACGGAGTACTACGTACTCCCTCCGTCCCATAATTATCTTCATTCTTTCTTTTTTGGTCCGTCCCAAATTTATCCCCTCTTTCCTTTTTTAGCAAAGGATTTGTGGTTCACAACGATTCTTACACATTTCTCTCTCCTCTGCACAACTCTCCACCACACATTTCCCACTTTCTTAATCTCCGTGCCCAGTCAAAACCGAAGTTAATTCTAGGACGGAGGGAGTATTTAGTTACTAGCCAGCAATAGGGATGGACCCGGGCCGGGCCGGTTCCGGTTCCGGGCCGGGCCCGGGCGGGCTTTTTTTGGGGATTGTTGGGCCCGGAACCGGCCCGGGGTGATACCGGGTCCGGTTCGTGCCGGGTCGACCCGGTCGGGTCCGGGCCGGGCCGGGCCGGGCCCGGGCTTTAATTTTTTTTTTTTTTTTTTTTATACCAAAATTAAATTAATATTACTTGGACATAAAAAAGGGTAAAACATATTTATTTGATATTTGTAGTACAATTGAAAATTGAGTAAAAATAAAAACATGAAATACACTTTATAATAAGTAATGAAGTATGAATCAATTAGAATTTCCTCCATCTTCAGTTGTTTCTTCCATAAAGTGGCGAGTGGGTTCAATGCTTATTTCTTGAGTTCTACGTTTGGCCTTCAACCAATCGTGGAAGCAAACAAGCGTCTCAAGAGAGTTTGCGCTTAATCTCGTTCTATAATCCGTTAGGACGTTGCCGGCCGCACTAAACTCTTGTTCCACAGCAACTGTTGATACCGGCATTGCTAGCACTTGCTTAGCCATCTTTGATAAGATCGGGAACGTTCTCTCTTTTTCCTTCCACCACTGAAGAACGTCAAAGTCATCCCCTTCTTCATAATCAACAGGAAATGTTAGATACAAAGAAAGCTCGTTGATCGAGCTTTGTTCATTAACCGGAGTTGATTTACTTTTTTTCATAAGATTGCCAAATGCAGATTTGAAAATTGATTTTCCTTTAGATGAAGAAGATGTTCGTGGCGGGGGAGGGGGTGCGTTACCATATTGTGCATGAAACTCATTAAATAATTGATATAATAAATTACTAACCTCTTGGAATTGTTGTTTAGGGTCTATGGCCTTGTCGTCGTACATAGGCAATGGACCAAAAAAAGAAGCATAATAGTAATCTAAACATTTCTCCAAAGAATAAAGTCTAAAACGAGGATCAAGAACAAATGCAATACCATATATATGCGGAATATAGGAATAATATTTTAAAAACTTTTGTTTCATGAAGTCACAAAAATAACTAACGTAAGCGGCGTCAGAGAATTCAGAAAAAGCGCCGGCGAGATTAACAGCTTCAACAAAAAATTGGTTTGCGGTAGGTTTATAAACATGACTAAAAGTTTCAGTGGCATTATTAAAAAACACCAAAACATTCACAATTTTTTCACAAGTGTCGATATCGGCCGGGTTTATAATATAGTTAGCATATTCTCTTAAAAAAGCGGGAAAATGGTTTTTATATCTAATAAGCACTTTAATTAAATTATAAGTACTATTCCAACGAATAGACAAATCTTTAGGAAAAGCACAATATTTGACACGTCTTTCTTTCAAATAATTTCTCCATTGCATCTTAAGTGGATTACTAGCCCAAATCAGTTTAATCCCCCCCTTGACCACCTCCAAAGCATCTCCCAACGCCGCAAGACCGTCCTTTACACATAAATTTAAAATATGACATGCACAACGCTGATGAAAAAACCTACCCATCAAAGAAGATGAACCACACAATTCACGCAATCTAGGAATAGCCGCAGTATTATTAGTAGCATTATCAAAACCAATAGCAAACACCTTATCAATCAAATTATACTCAACTAAAATACGCTCAATGAGAATATAAATATTATCGCCGGTGTGTCGATCATTAAATTCACGAAAAGCAAGAACACGTTTATGCATACACCAATCATCATCAATATAATGTGCAGTCAAACCCAAATAATATAAATGATGATGAGTATCCTCCCATATATCACTACATATGCTAACACGGCCATCAAAGTTTGCGAAAAATATTTGTAATTTTTCCTTTTCCAAAACATATTGCCTTATAACTTCTTTTTTAATTGTTTTGCGACTATAGTTTCGAAATTGAGGATTTAAAGTACCTTGAGCATATTCTTTTAAAGCAAGACTTTCGGAAAAAATAAAAGGCAAATTTTCTTCAACAATCAAATGTGACATACCAGTCAAATGTCTTTGATCATCATAGGAGAAATTACCGAAGGGTTGGCCACTTCCAAATCTTGAAATTTGTGTTTGCTTTCCCTTGCCTTTGTCTGATTTCGCATATTCCGCCGGGTGCTTGGCCTTAAGATGCCTTGTGGCGCTCCCGTACCCTCCAGAAGTTCCCAAGTTATACTTCTTTGGGCAATGCTTGCAAGTGGCGTACCATATCTCGGTTTGGGGGTCTTTAAATTTTGTAAAATTTGCCTTAAAGACTGATTCAGCTTTCTCACCGCCTTGGGAAGAAGTAGCCACTTCCGCTTGCTCTTCATCATCGTACGGTGTGCCATGAACCTCGTGCTCGACCGTTTGCGGATCCCTCTCCTCCGCATCATCATCCTCGAGCTCTTCTTCGTCAATGGTCGGGATGTTTTGTTGATGGAAGAAGGCCCCTTGATTTTGTTGTAATAGTTGTTCTACTTGCTCATCGGACATCGCAGACCCATATCTTTGGTTATAATCCGCATCAAAATCATCTCGGGTTTGAGATGAAGCCCCGGCCCGTCCCTTACCTTTCTGCAAGCTTGGATGATTCCTCGCAATCTCCTTTGTTCGGTTGCGGCGGAGGTTACCCATATCTACTGAAGCTCTACCACGTTCCATCTTAAAAATATAACAAATATTAAATTCGAAGTACAATTAAACTAGTGAATTTCAAATACAAATCTAACAAATCGAACTACAATGTAACAATTAAATTCGAACAATTAAATTGACTAGAATGTAACAATTAAAATGTACCAATTAAATTAACTTTTATTATAAAATTTGAACAACTTCAATATAAATAACAATTAACTAGTTCAATAGGAGAAATTTTAACTAGACATTAAATGTAACAATGCAATGAAATTTAGAGGAGAATAATAAATGTAACAATGAATTAACTATTTTGATAGGAGAAATTTAACTACTTTTATATTAAGTGTATAAGTAGATAAAGTAAATATATATATTTAAAAGTAGATAATAAGTAGATTAACTAGTAATATATAATATTATGTTTATAGTATATATAATATAAATATATGACTATAAGATGAGGAATACACTTAATATATTAAGTAGATAAATTTTCGAACAACTATAATATAATTAACAATTAACTAGTTTGATAGGAGAATAATAAATGTAACAATTAACTAGTATTAGAGGAGATTAAGAAATGTAACAATTAACTAGTTTAACAAGTAAACAATTAATTTCGAATTCTTGTCTAACAAATTTTAATGTAACTATTTCCAATAAACTAACAACTACCAATTAACCACTTATATAGCAATGAACTAATACTAAAAGTCTAAAATGATAAGTGAAACAATTAACAACTTTTATATTAATGAAGAATGTATTAGTGTGTAAACAAAATTAATGGGAATGTTTGATAGGAGAATAATAAATGTAACAATTAACTAGTATTAGAGGAGATTAAGAAATGTAACAATTAACTAGTTTAACAAGTAAACAATTAATTTCGAATTCTTGTCTAACAATTTTTAATGTAACTATTTCCAATAAACTAACAACTACCAATTAACCACTTTTATAGCAATGAACTAATACTAAAAGTCTAAAATGATAAGTGAAACAATTAACAACTTTTATATTAATGAAGAATGTATTAGTGTGTAAACAAAATTAATAAGTAGATAATATTATGTTGATAGTATATATAATATAAGATGACTAACAAGATGACTAACACACTTATATATGTAGTAAATATATATTTATAAGTAGATAATAAGTAGATAATATTATGTTAATATTACTACAAGATGACTAACACACTTATATATTATACTTTAATATATAAGTATATTACTATAAGTTGAGTAATACACTTATATATTATACTTTAATATATGTATAACTAATATAAGTATATATTAAGTATATGTAATATGTGAATATAAGTAAATAAATATACTTATATAAGTAACAATAATATAATAATTAGATATTAATATAAGTAGATAATAAATTATATAAATATAATATATGTAGTAATAAATTTGAGAAATTGAGAAGATGAAGATGGGAAAGATTAATAGAGAATAGAGATTAGAGATTTAGAGAGTAGAGATATTTGGAGAAGATGTGTAGTAAAGTGTATAGAAAAAATGGAGTATTTATAGATATTTAGTACCCCACCCCCACCCCCCACCCCCCCCACCCCCCCACCCCCCAACCCGGGACCCCCTGGAAGGCTCCCAACGGCTATAGAGCCGTTTGGGTTGAAAGCCAACGGCCATAAGGCCTGTTTGGCTGAAAAACAAATTTTTTTTTTTTTTTTAAAAAAGTAACCGTTAGGCCCGACCCGGGCCCGAACCGGCCGGGCCGGGCCACCAAACAAATGAACCGGACCCGAACCGCCAAACCCCCCCGGGCCGGGTCAAAGCCCGAACCGGTTCACCAGTCCCGGTTCCGGGCCGGGCCTGCACAGTGGCGGGCCGGGCCGGTTCCGGGCCGGGCCGGCCCGGTTGAGTCCATCCCTAGCCAGCATGGTTCATTGGAGCCAAAGCTTTATTAATAAATTGAAAAAAATATTTTCAAATTACAACTTGTGCTTAAATTAATCATTTAAAAATTAAAATTGGAAGCAGTTGGGAGGATGTTGTTTTTCACTTTATCTATTACACAAAAAAACACTTATT